GGCACTTCGCTCCTTCGGAGCTGGAGCTGCTGGCTGCCCTGGGCTTTTTTTGGGATTTCTGGAAGTTTGGGGCTTGGGGGTTTAGGGTTTAGGGTTTAGGGTTTAGGGTGTAGGGTGTAGGGTGTAGGGTTTAAGGTTCAGGGTTTAGGGTTTAGGGTTCAGGGGGGTTTGCAAAGAAGATCGTCGTAGCTTGGACCCCGGTTCCAACTATTCACACCCCTGTATTGCGACAGCACAGCAGCTCTCAGCAACATTCCCACTGGAGGATTCCCTGGAGCACAGGTGACATGCGAAGGGTATGTCGAGGTTGTTTTGGGTTTAGGGCTTCGGATGATTCGGATGCTTAATACTACTCTATGGCTACATGGGTTTAGGGGGCCGTGTTGCCTCTCTGCAAATATCCAAGCTGTGTGGAAACGAGTTTTCTGGAAGTTCTGGGACTGTTCGAGCTTCAGGTTTTACAGTTCTGGGTTCCTTCAAAAACAGGGCATAGGGTCCGGGGCTTCAGTTTGTTGTTCAGGACAAGATCCCACAAGGTCCCTGAACCACTGACAGGTTGTCCTCGCAGCTCTGGGAAAAGACGTCATCGCCTTGCAGATGGCTGCCGACGAATTGTGTCTTGTTGAAAGCATTGTTCCAGATTAATTAGCACTTCATGATCTCTATTTGGAGGGTCCTCTGAAAACGAGGTGCCCCGTGCGGGCTACTTGTACATATATGTTGGATCCCGTAATGATGGCTCTACATCAGAGTTCGTTACTTTCTGCCACTCCCGTTTGCATCCACGCAACCCTGAAACTCCTAAACCCTTAAGCTCTAAACCCCACTTGGAGGTTCATGGGTAGTTATAAGCGGGGTTAAGCCCCCTAGCCTGCGTTAGAAGTATAGTACCCTACTTGTAACCCCACGTATAACTACCCATGGACCTCCAAGTAACCGCTTAGGCCCCTAAGCCATAAACTCGAAGTTTCCCTTGCTGGGGCCGGCCGTGTTTTGGGCTCGCTTGAACACAGGTGGGCGGGAGGGGACCGCAGAGAACCACCGAAACCTTCTTCTGCTGCTTCCACAAGTGATGTAGTAGATGTATGATGAACCCAGCGGATGTTGCATTTTTAGTGCTCCTGACCCCTAAACTCTTAACCCCGCCTAAAGCCTCGGGAAATTTTAAGCCCTAAAGGTCTGGCGCTTAAGGTTTAGAGTTTAGGGAAAGGGTGATTTAAAGCAATACTACAGTTACAGCCCTTTTAGACGCTTATTGCACCCCGGGGCAGTCACTCAGAGCTTCGTGAAACTCTATCAAACCCTAAACCCTAAACCCTAAACCCTAAACCCTAAACCCTAAACCCTAAACCCTAAACCCTAAGCCTAAAGACCCAAAGCCCGAAGCCCCAGCCCAAACCCGAAACCCTAAGGCCAAACCCCCCCCTGAACCCTAAACGCCTAAACCCCTACACCCCTAAACCGCTAGACCCTAAACCCCAAAACCCTAAAACCCTAAAAACCCCAAAACCCTAAAACCCTAAAAACCCTAAAAACCCTAAACCCTGACACCCTAAAACCCTAAATACACTAAAGCCTAACACCCTAAAACCCTAAAAACCACTAAACCCTAACACCCTACAACCCTAAAGCAAGGACTCCCAGCTCCGAGTCCCACCTAGGTCGTCTTGCAAGGCCAGAGCAGGTGGTGGGACGGTTTAGGGCTTTGGGTTTTAATAGGGTTTAGGGTTTTAGGCTGTAGGGCTTAGGGCTTTAAGGGTTTAGGGTTTAGAGTTTTAGGGTTCAGGGCTTTAGCAGTTCAGGGTTTCGAGTTTTGGGGTTTAGGGGTTTACAGGGTTTAGGGCTTTAGGGGTTTAGGGTTCAAGGATAACAACAAAGGCATTAACAATAGCAGTCAACATGAAAGTAAGGATGGCGATGATGACAAGACTGGTAATAAACGTCGAAATAGAAATGGTATCAAAATTTATGACCATTTTTCGCAATCGTAGTAAGGTGCTAGCAATAGGGAACGCCACTCTTATACGGTTTGGGCTGCCTTCAAATTCAGTTTTCCCAGTCCTGAGGAAGAGCGACGGCGACTTCATGCTGTCTGCCATTTCTGAGGACCTGCTTCGGGCTTTAGGGCCGCTGTAGCACAAGCCCCTTAACCCCAAACCCCCCAACCCCTCAACCCCAAGCCCCCTAATGTAGGGGCCTAAACAATTAATTACCAATACTATTTCGGGGGGGGGGGGTCTTTGTTCGAACTATAGTCTACTGGACCCCAAAGCCGTATTCTAATTACTAAGGCCCCTGTTCTAACTCAACCCGTCACAGACCCCCGAAGTCCCGGCAGAACCCAGCGGCATTCCTCTTCTCGAAAGAAGAGCTGCAGCAGGACCTCGGAGTAGGGGGGTGGGGGGGGTTGCAGCAGGGGAGACGTCTAGGTTTCGTCGCCGAGGGCTTCGAGTGAGGGCAGAGTCAGGGTTTAGGGTGGTTTAGGGTTTAGGGTTGGTTTGTATTAGGTAGGCCTCTGTGACCTGTTTCATTTTCCCTTGTCGGGCCTAAAAGGAGCTCAAAAAATCTGCACAGAGGCTTTGAAGGTTAAAGGGCCGACCTAGTCTTAGTGGCTGAGTAGGTAACCTTTAACCTTTTGGGGCTCTTATTCATCCTACTATAATTCCAAAGGTTAACCTTTTTTGGGCTAGGGTGCTCAGCCCCTAAGGTTTCGTGTCCTCAATCAAGCCACTTTGATCGGCCAAGTGCCTGAAAAGAAATCGCAAGTCTTCACATCAGGATGCAGTTTTCAGTTGCCACTGAGTCCTTGACCAAATCTACAACCTCAGCTCATTCCTGAAACCTTGCAGATCCTAGCGAGGTTTTGGACAAATGCGAGTTTTGTGAAGCCTCGTGCAAAGCCGCTTTGACGACTCGTGCATGGGCAAGTCGCCCTCGTAACAGAAGGAAGAGAGCGCTCAGATGCTTTTGCCGTGAGGCGACTTCTATCTGCGTTCATTGTGCAGGAGCTGTGCCATGCGCATGCGCGCAATGGCGATTTGGAGGCGTCCGGCGTGGAGTGAATAACATACTAGAGTTGAGGATTCACGGTTTAGGGTTTATGTCTGGGGACTCGGTTTAGGGTCTAAGGTGCCGGATATGAAGATAAAAACTGAATCCTGAACCCTATAAACCTTAAACCATGTAAACCCTAAACCCTAAACCCTTGCTTGCAGGCTCCGGGAATTGAGCTTTGCGTTTTGGGCCGCCCTTTCAGTTTAGGTTCGCTAGGACGTTCAGTGGTATCGTTTTGTCCTTTTTGGGTGAAGGGTTTAGGGGTATAGGGTTTAGGGCAGCACCTTTTTTTGCTGTTTTGGTATTGGTTCCCAATCTAATTGAACCAACCCATAGAGTATATGCTTTTTCCCAGTCCCTAGACCCTAAACCCTACACCCTAAACCCCTAAACCCTAATCCCTAAACCCCTAATCCCTAAACCCCTAATTACCAAACCTGGGTTCCTGGACAGATTCGTTCAATTCTTTGCGTGCAGAGTGCGGTAGAAGCTCGAGGATTCCGCATTTGGGTTTAGGGTTTAGGGGTTGGGGGTTAGCGTTTAGGGTTTAGGGCTTAGGCTTAACCTGGAGCCTGAGGTGCTTTCCTTATACAAGTCCTTAAAACGGTAGGTCCTGTAGGGTCTAGGAAGCGGTTAGTGTTGACGGTTGAGGGGTTAATATAGAAGCCCAATTACTTTGGGGCTCCTTGCTATAATTATAGTATAAAATGCCCCACTAGTCTAAGTATTAAGGCCCCCTACATTAGGTGTCGAGGCCAAGATAGAACGTCGGGCGTGGTCTTCAGGATATGTCTGCAAGGCATGCCCTGATCCGTTCGGGCTGGTAGCTGGCTTCAGCAAGATAGTGTAGGGGCCTTACAAAGCTTTTCTTGCAGTTTATGATCTCAGTATTGTAGTTATGGTAAGGAACCCGCAGGAAGACTATTGCGAATCATTCCGACCTTTGAACCCTGGTTTCTATAAACCCCAAGGAAAACATTGCCATACATTCCTTTGAGCCCTGAATTCTGTAAACCCCAAGGAACACATTGCCTTACATTCCATTGAGCCCTGAATTTTGTAAACCCCAAGGAAAACATTGCTTTACATTCCTTTGAAAAAGAACCCTGAATTCTATAAACCCCAAGGAAAACATTGTTATAAATTCACGCTTTGTCTTCTATGTGGGTGGTTGTCAAGAAGATGGTCCCTTTTTGGGTCCTTATTATAATACGGCACCTATTATTTAGGGTACCCAAAAAAGGGACCCTAATTTTGACAACCACCCATGTGAGGCTCAAGACTGGGCCGTTCATCTGGCTTCGAAGCCTAAACTAACCGGGCCTCGGCCCGGACTCTCCAAGTTCTTAAGCCGGGCAAGCATGGAACCCAGCGGCGGCCTCCCATTAACGACACCAGACACTTTGGCAAGAACTCAAAGTCAAAGAGCTTGCATTTTTCATTCGCTTGCATCGAGGTTTTGTGGGCCTATCCATTGCATAACTCTGAATTATAAGGGTTGAGGATTCAGGTTTTGAGTGGGCCGCGCAGGTCGGGGCTTTCGATCTTGCCTGCTCCGCAAACACCTGGTCTTTCCCATGTCAGCACGTCAATACCGACACTAAACTTCAAGAACCCGAAATCCCAGAAGCCCTAAACCCTAAACCCTGAACCCTAAACCCTAAACCCTAAACCCTAAAGCCTAAACCCTAACCCGAAATCCCCATCACCCAAAGCATCCCAAGGCTTCAGCCAGGGCAGCACCTGTAATGCGACCGCAACAGGAAGTCGAGTGTAATACAGGGGCTTCAATAATTACCAGGTTTAGGGTTTAGGGGGTTTAGGTTTTAGGGTTTAGGGTACTATTTTGGGAGAATTCCTTAGAAATAATAGTTAATAGCATAGGGCTTAGGGGTAATATTTTGGATTCCTTATACAAATAGTTAATAGCATGGTATACCCAAAGCCCCTATTCTGATGATTAAGGCGCCTATCGTAGCTATTTGAACAGGGGTTGGCTTTTCGCGATTTGCCCTCCCTTTCTTCCCGACCTTTTAGGGTTTAGGGTTGATGTTTTGGGGGACATGATAGTTTAGATGCACACGCAACTCACAGGTGCAAGAACGACGTCGGCAATGCACTAGTGTTGTGCTGCAGTCATCACCGCGGCCAGATCCGACATCAGCATCCACATCATTGTCATGACTATCACCGTCATATCCTCCCACCATGGCCATCAACACCGTGACCAACATCACTACTGTAGTATCAGTGACAATCTCAGTCACAACAACAGCATGAACAACCATGAGAATGATGTGAATTCGGACAGGGTTTGCAAGATCCTGGTTGTCATCAGCTCATCATCACAGGCCATCATCAGTAGCATGTCTCATCAGCTGCTGCCGCTGTTGCCACTGCCGTTGCTGCTGTTGCTAGTGGTAGCACTACTACCACTACTTCATGAAGCCAAGCCTGTAAAACCACAAGCAGGAAGAACCAACGATAACCCAGTGTGGGGTAATGTATTCATATTGGCGGTTCGGTAGTCTCTGAGCCGCCGAAAGCTCGATTGCCTGACACTCTCAACCCTAAATTCCAAAAAAAAATAAACAAGCAGATCCTTAAAAACAATATTAAATCATTCTATTAAACTATTTTTTAAAAATTTTTATGCGTAAAACCCAAAACCCCTCTAAACCCTGATGCCCGTCCAAGGAGGCGGACTTGAAGGATCGCTTCCTGGCATTGGCAAGGGATCTTCAGCAGGTCCTCGATCACCATCGCCATGCCGTTCAGGACAGGGAAAGGGTCCTCCGATCCCTCCATGTGATGGGGCTTCAGGGCCCTCAACCTATAGGGTTTCCTAAACCCTAAAGCCTAAACCCCTAAAACCCTAAGCCCTAAGCTCTGTCTCTCCTTACGCACTTACTGCAATGTCTTCAACCCGAACCGGCAGGAGCAGCATTTCACGAATGCAGTGAAGGCACGTGCCCTGGAGCAGGCCAAGCAGGCCCGCAGCAATTAGGGCTTTGGGCTTTGGGTTTAGGGTTTTGGGCTTAGGGTTTAGGGCTTCGGGTTTAGGGTTTTGGGCTTAGGGTTTAGGGTTTAGGGCTTAGGGTTTAGGGCTTAGGGTTTTGGGTTTTGGGCTTAGGGCTTTGGGCTTAGGGCTTAGGGTTTAGGGTTTTGGGCTTAGGGTTTAGGATTTGGGGCTTAGGGTTTAGGGTTTAGGGCTTAGGGTTTAGGATTTTGGGCTTAGGGTTTTGGGCTTAGGGTTTAGGGCTTAGGGTTTAGGGTTTTGGGCTTAGGGCTTAGGGCTTTGGGTTTAGGGTTTTGGGCTTAGGGTTCAGGATTTAGGGCTTAGGGCTTTGGG